AGGGAGCCCGATGCGGGACTCGATTCCGGGACTCCAGGATCATGACCTGAGCCGAAGGCAGTTGCTTAACCAACTGAGCCACCCAGGCGCCCCTAGTTGGGCAGTTCTGAAAACATGACAATAAGTACTTAGCAATCCTAGTTATTGACCAAGCAAAAAGTAAGTCCATATGATGACTCATATATGAACATTCCTAGTAGCTTTATTTGTAATAGCTCAAGGCTGGGAACAGGCTTGGAAATCCACAGGCCTGTCAACAGGTAAATAGATAAGTGACCATCCATGCAATGAGATACTGCTCAGCAATTTAAAAAAAAAGCAATTAATTTGATATACACAGCATGGACAAGTCTCAATGCTGAGTGAAAGCAGACCTACAGATCGGTGGGGAGGGGCTTGGAGGGACTTAAGAGGGGCATCAAGAAATGGGATGATGTGTTTGTTATCTTGATGTGCTTCTGGTTTGACATGTATACATATGCTAAAACTTAAATTGTACATTTTACATTTGTGCAATTCATTGCATGTTAATTACATCTCAGTCTCAAAAAGTAATAACCAGTGTTCATATATGTTCTCTAAGCGGTCATTTCATACCTTTCTTCTCTCTCTTTTGGCTGATGACTTTTCATTTCTATTTCACCGAGAAGACAGAAGCAATCAGAACAAGTCTTCACAAATTCACATTGTCAATTTACTGTCTTACCTGCACCTGTGCCCATATGCTCCCCAGGCTGTGCAGGCCGCACACGTCCCCTCCAGCGTGCGTGCCCCGTTTGCACACTGCCCCCGGGCCCACGTGCAATCCCTGGGTCCCCCCACCCTGCACGGGCTCACTAGATCACAGTACTCACCTGCTCGAGGCACTGCTCTGCAGTTCTCCCTCTCCCTCATAAGTGGTGGTGGGTCATTCCCATCATTCAGATGTTGTATCATCTCTTCCACAAGAAAAATCTCCACCCCACTAACTCCTTCAACTGCTCCATTTCACATTCCTTTCCAGCAAAGCCCTTCAAACAGCTATTTCTACTCACTCTTTCCAATTTTTCCTCTCCTTTTCCAGCCCTGCTACAATCAGATGTTTGCTGCACTTTTCCACTGGAATTGCTCCTGTAAAGGTCGCGAATGGCCACCACTAAATGATGTGGTTCCTTCTCAGCTCTCACCTGAAATGGTTGGTTCCTCTTTCCAGTGAAACCATTTTCCTGGTTGTCAGGACACAGTGTTCCCCTCATTTTCTTCCTGCCTGTCTGGATTCTCCTTTCCAAACTCCCTCACTGACCCTATCCTGTCAGCCCAGCTCAGCTGGGACCTCAGTTCTACCTACACCCATTGACTTGGTGATCTCACTCAACTCTCGTGGTTTTAAAGGCCATCTGTATGCAGATCACTCACATATTTACTCCAGACATGTCTGTGCACCTGTCTATGTGGACTCTTCCAGACATCTCAAACTTCGGTCCAAAACAGAACTCATGATGCCCCTACCCCAAATCTATTTTCTCAAACGTCCCCATTTCAGTTGGTAAGCAATTGGATGAAAATCACTAAACAAAGAATGTTGGTAATACCGTTGACCCTTGTTTCTCTCCCAACCTTCACATACAATTGAACAGCAAGTCTTCAGAAATGAATCGGATTCTGGCTACATTGCACCTCCTCTACTGCTACCATCCTGGTACAGAGCACCACCCTCCTTCTCCTGCCCGGGTCGCTGCAGTTTCTCCTGAGCTCCCGGCCTTTGCCCACACTCTCTTGTCTCTCTTCCATTTATTTTCAACACGGAATCCAGAATGATCGTGTTCAGATCTAAGATCACATTAGTCCTCTATTCAGAGAGCTAACTATCACACTCAGAGTCCCAAGTTCACAGTTGCCTTAAGGCCCCCTGTGCTCACTGTGCTCCTGGCAGCCTCCTTGCTTCCAGAACAGATCAAACCTCAGGGCCTTTGCACTTGCTGCTTGCTGTGCCTTAATGTTCTTCATCTAGGCTCTCCCCAAGCTCTTCATTTTTTACTGAAGTGTCATTCCTAAAATTGCAGCTACTGGGGCATTCCTGACTCTTCTGCTGTGTTTTATCTCTCGTATGTATTAACACATCACATTGGTTTTCCTGTCTTATTTATATTTGTATGTTTTACCCCACTTGAATTGAAGCTTCAGAGATTTTTTTAAAACTATTTGGGGATTACTACTATATTTCAGAACAGTTCTTGGGACATATTTAGCATTCAATACTCGAGTAAATAAATGGATGAATCAGAATAAAAATAATGTGTATATGGTTAAAATAAAACTTGAAAGCTATGTGCCAATTTTCAGAGGTAACCCCTGTCAGGAGTTTAGTGTTTGCTTCCAGAATGTGCTATGGGCAAATGTACATTCAACTCATATTATCACAGACTCTGCTCTATGGGGTGCTTTTTTTCTCTTTATATTTCATGAACATCTTTTTATGTCAATACTTAAGTAGCTACCTCATTTTAAAATTCTGGCTGATTGTATTCTGTTGTGTGGATAAGATTATGATTTAAGTTTTCTAAAAGACAGTTTACCCATTTTACTATGTGCTTTAGTAAACATTTTTGTCCACATTACTTTATATACTCAGGCTAGTACTTCTGTAGGATAAATCTGTCGATTGCTAAGTCATCAAAATATAGTGCCAAATGGCCCCCAAAATGTACTAATTAATACTCTCTCATCACTGTATGAGATTCCTTGTTTTCCCATATTGTATCAACATTAAATAGTGACTGTGTTCAGTTTTTGCTAGTGCTGTTAATTTGGAGTCACGGTTGGGGGTGATGCCTCTAGGGCAGGAGGAAGGGCTTGTCATTGACTCCTCCTGGCAATAGCTCATTCTAGTTCTCCATCTTCCTGGCCGGAGGTGAGCAGGGGAAGGCGGGCTTTAGGGCTTCATTCATTCAGAGTGGGTTTGAGGGTAGACGCAGCTATGATTCACACCTTGTACGCTGCCCTGGATTCACCAGAACGGAGCAGTTCTCCTACCCTTCGACCCATAGCTACTGCATCAGAAGACGCGGCTTATGTTTTCTAGACCCAATCAGGCTCAACCATTCTGTCTCGCTTAGGAAAACAAGTTAAACAGAATCTTCCTTGAGCTGAAAATCGCCCACTGTCTAAACTCTTGAGGGGCTCTTATATCGGAAGAACGAATGGGCAATGAGAACAGCCATGTGTGAAGGTCTGGAGACCGGGACGGTTTGCTGCATAGACAGGGGCTCGAGCCGGATGAGCGAGGCCGTGGAGGAAGGAGGGCCAGGGTCCTTCTTGCGGGGGCGGGGGGGAGTGGGCGGAGCTCGGGGGCGGGGCTCGTGCTACCTGCACCGACCAGACCCCATGATTGTAACGGCTTCCTACCGAGGACGACAGAGTCATCTCGTCCTTAAGCTTCACGTAGCCAGAGCAAGGGGAAGTGGGGGAGGGGGGTCCTTCGTGAATTCGCCCTTCACATTTGGCAGTGGGAAATCGATCAAAAGGTCCTTTTCTAGGTGAAACATTCAGCTCCTGCCGCCCTTAACTGCCAGTTAGTGGCAAAAAGGGGCCGGAGCCTCACCTGCGCAAGCGCCGCCTCCCAGGCCCGCGCCTGCGACAGCCCGGCCTGGCCCGAGGCGTGTGCGCCTGCGCGGAGCCAAGAGGCGGGGCCATCAGGCGTCCCGGTTGCTTGGATACCTCTGTGAAACAATTGCTGCCGGGGGCGCTTCCCGGCTGTCGCTAGAAGGGGCAGTTGGCCCTCACTTTCCGAAGAGCCCGAGGAGGAGCGGGTGAGAGCCCCGGCCGGCCGCCCGGACCTCGCGAAGCCGGCCTCTTGGCCCGCCCCCAAGCCCGGCCCCGCCACAGACCCGGGTCCCCCCTCCAGGCTCCAAATCCGGGGGAGGCAGGGCGGCCCGGCCCTTCGGGGGCGCCCGCGCCCCGAGGCTCACCGGCCCGTCCTCCGCCTCCACGCAGCACACCTTGATTCTTCCCAGCCTGGTCCCGGTCTGCGGAGAGCGATGCCGCTTCCTGATACCATGTTCTGCGCACAGCAGATCCGCATTCCCCCGGAGCTGCCGGACATCCTGAAGCAGTTCACCAAGGCTGCGATCCGCACCCAGCCCGCCGACGTGCTGCAGTGGTCCGCGGGGTAAGCGCCTGGGATGGCCGGCCGGCCCGCGAGACGGCTCGCGCCTCCTGCCCCCACACCTGGAGCACTGCTCCGACGCATTGGTGGTGTCTGCACCTGAGTGTCTGTCTAGGAAGCATCATGGTCGATTGACCTTCCCAGGAATTACCGCAAAATGTTCACTTCCCCACAAAGTAATGACAGCTCCATTGTTGGAGAGTGGTATTTACTCAGACTAATACCTACAAAGCAATTGCATTGGGCAAAACGTTTCTGCATTGTGTTACAAAATCAAACTACTGCAGTCCCTTTATTTTATTTGTAAAATGATTTTTTTAAAAGATTGTATTTATTTATTTGACAATGAGAGCGAGCACAAGCAGGGGGAGTGGCAGGCGGAGGGAGAGGGAGAAGCAGGTTTCCCGCTGAGCAGGAAGCCCGATGTGGGACTGGATCCCAGGACCCTGGGATCATGACCTGAGCTGAAGGCAGTTGCTTAACCAACTGAGGCACGCAGGCGCCCTGTAAAATGACTTTTGTAAGGAATCTTGTAAGGCTAAATTCCTCATCCTAGAGAATCCTCCCAGGGTTCGGTATCTGGTTGAGTTTATTAGAACCAAAGCAACGGAGGTCATATTGGGGTAATTATCCCAAGGCCACTATAAGGTTAAACTTTGCTCAGCTTAGTTCACTGAAGGCAAATGAGCCTTCACTGTTTCTTGCAACAAACATCCTATTTTCAGGAACAGGCATTCATAATTTTAAGGTTACAAAGTTAACAGACTTTAGAACCATTAAAATAAACCCCATTTCGTTTTGAAAGGAAAGCTCTTCGTCCCTTTTCAGTAGACAGAGTTAGAAACTCAATTTTATGATCACAAGAGCCAGTATAAAATTAAGTGTTTTGGGACACCTGGGTGGCTCAGTCGGTTAAGCGTCTGCCTTCAGCTCTGGTCATGATCCCAGGGTCCTGGGATCCAGCCCCACATCAGGCTCCCTGCTCAGCAGGGAGCCTGCTTCTCCCTCTCCTTCTGCCTGGCGCTCCCCCTGCTTGCGCACACACACTCTGTCAAATAAATAAATAAAATCTTAAAAAAAATTAAATGTTTTAGTAACTAGCATGTCAGATTTCACTGACCTTCTCTAAACTGTATAACCAAGGTGAATTAGTTTCCTGTGGCAACTATAACAACTACAGAATTTGATGAATTAAAACAACAGGCATGCATTCTCTTTACGGTTCTGGAGGCCAAAAGTCCAAAATCAGTTTCACCTAGCTAAAGTCGATTTGTCAGGCCTTCTCTCCAGAGGCTTTAGGGAGACTTCAATCCCTTGCTTGCCTTTTCCATCTTCTGGAGCTGCATTCCTTGTATTCTTTGGCTCATGTTCTCTTCCTCCATCTTTAAGGCCAGTGGTGTGGCATCTTCAAGTCTCTCTCTCTCTGCCTCCCTCTTCCAAGGACGCTTGTGATTGCATTTAGGACCCATCAAGATAATTCAGGATAATTTTCCCATCTCAGAATCCTCTCTCCCATCTACAAAGTCCCTGACACCATGCAAAATAAGATCCACAGATTCCAGGATTAGGACCTGGGTGTCTGGGGCCCTTACTGAACCCACCACACAAGGCTACCTATTAATCCAGTGCTCTGTCTTGTGACAGACACTTCTGTCAGTTGCTTCTGAAAGATTCTCTCAAGGTTCTTGCCGAAAAAATTACGGCCTCTGTTTTTAACCATCATCCAAGCATCAATAAAAGATGGGACACACGAGAGTTTATTTGTAGTCAACAGAACATTCCAAGATTGAATCATTTTTTCCCCTCGGGACATTAAATTATTTTAACTTAAGCTTCACTTTAATTTAAAAGGCATAATTGAGCACTTTCTGGATGTTCCATGCACTAAATTTCTCTCAAGAACAATTTTGGGGTTTAGGAGAAAAAGCAAGCTTTATTCACTAAGCAGTGTATGTGAAATGGGCTCAGATGTGTCCCAGCTGTCACAAAGGAGAATCTGTTAGGGAGGGATGTTGCTCAGAAGAGGGCACATTGGTCTTTGAGGTTAAGACAAGGCAAGGGCATTCCGGGAAGAAGACTAGCATACCAACAAAGGGGCGGTGACAAGAAGAAAAAAAAAAAAAAGCTAAAGACAAAGCAGAGAACCAGGAATCACAGGAAGGTACCTGCTGTGGAAGACGACAGGAGGCATTCAGGTTAACCTCTTCACAGAGGAGGCTTTCAGGTGGTGGAGATGAGTCAGCCTCGCTAGTCATGCCGCAGCTAGGGTCTGTCACCAGTGCCTCGTGCATGTGACTGGAGTGAGAACTGGTCCCCGCTCACACACGCCTCCAGGGGATTAGCACCAGGGGGCCCGCCCCTAATGCAGGCTTTCTCAGCCTTGGCACTGCTGACACTTTGGACAGGATCATTGCTTGGGGGGGTGTACGAGGGAAAGGTGGCAGTGTGGGGGTGTCTGGGCGTAATAGGACCCTTAGCAGTATCCTGACCTGTACCCACTAGAGGCACCATCCATCCCCTCTGGAGACAACCAAAAATGTCTCCAGAAATTGCCAGTGCCTTCCTGGGGCGGGGGGAGGTAGAATTGTTGGGAACCACTGCTTTAGATGCTGTGGTTTGATCGGTTAGGGGGAGGAAGGAATAAAGTCCCCGGAATAAGTGAAAACCCTAATTAGGAACAATATGGCAAAACTATGCCCCCATGCCCCCTCCCTGTCACCTTAGATCTTCCTGTTCACCTTCGTCTCCCACATTGCTGCCCTTGTTTTGACTTTCCCTCCAACTGTTAAGTCAACAAAATGTGGATGGGGAGAGAAAAGGGGATGAGGTATAACATTTCTTTTAGCCTGTCAAGTATCTATTTATCAACAGCTATCTTTGTTACATAATCAGAGATGTTTCTAATTATTCATATCTTTTACACGATGGCCTGTGGCCCTGGTGGATGATACACTATTCGTTTTCCTGAGTATATTGTTTCTTTTTTGTTGTGTTAGTCATTGGAGTGGCGAATGACGTGGCTTCAGCAGCCGGCCCCCTCTAGCATGCCTGGCACCCTCTCCTGGTCCCCACCAGCCAGAAGCCGGTGTGTGCCCCCTCCTGACTTGTTGCCCTAAGCTATTTCCATACCCCCCCAGCCCCTAGTATAAGCACTAATATCTGCATCCCAGAAAGGAACAATTAAGGGGAAAAAATACTAAAGAAAATACCAGGCAGCAAAAGTGAAGGGGGAGGGGGGGAGGCATGGCATCTGACGTCATGGAGTGGAGTGGTTGGTCCCCAGCGGAGCAGACATGTGACTTCCCTGATCCGAGACCCCGTAGGGTTGAACAGAGATGGTTGAAGTCAACCCCCTTGGAAAGCAGCAGAGCCAAGTGAAGGGAAGACCAAACACTAACTGTCAAAGTAGAATGACTGGACCATGACCTTGCCCTTGGGTCACTGGGTCCTGAACCCTGGGTCCTGAACCCTCCCACCTCCTTTGGCAGCAGGTCAGGACCCCTCCTAGCATGTGCTTGATAAGAATAGCACATGTTTCAGGAGCCCCCCGATGGCCTGGTGCCAAGCAGCATGTCTAGCCTGTTGCAGCTTGAGCTCACTACTCCTAGGAGCCCTACGACAGGGCCTGCCATTGTTGGCTTTGCAGACAGAGAAACTGAGGCATGCAGAGAGGGTTAGGTTGGGGATCGGAGTGGAGGAGCCATGACTGCAGCCCTGCCCTCGGACTCTGGTGTCCCTGGAGGTGTCCTGGGCACTGTCACGCTCATGGCTTGTTTAAGAAACCATGTGAATTCCAGTGTTTTCTGGGTACTGATGAGCCTTCAAAGATGTCTGTTGCTGTTAGGTATTTTTCAGCTTTGTCTAGAGGAGATCCACTTCCTGTCAAGGACAGAATCGAGATGCCCGTGGCCACTCAGAAAACAGACACAGGCCTGACTCAAGGACTCCTGAAAGTTTTGCACAAGCAGGTAGGAGGGGGTCTCTGTTCTCCGTCAGCTTCACGAGATACAGCATGGCCGCTGCGTGGCATGTGGCAGACTCGCCGGCTCACCTTTGCAAGGCCAGCTTTCCCGGCGCACACCTGCCAGATTTCTTCAGAGGAGGAATCTGCTGTGTTCAGTGGCCTTTTTCTAGTTTAAAGAACCCCAAATAGCTATTCGTGATTAGATGGTAGGCAAGTGAAATAGAATTGCTTTTATTTTTATCTTTATTTTTTTTAAAGATTTTATTTATTTATTTGAGAGAGAGTGAGAGAGAGCATGAGAGAGGAGAGGGTCAGAGGGAGAAGCAGACTCCCCACTGAGCGGGGAGCCCGATGTGGGACTCGATCCTGGGACTCCAGGATCACGACCTGAGCTGAAG